GAACATTCTGTGTTTGCTGGGAGGATATTTGTTTTGCGGAGATACACATGGCCAAGTGTAAATGGGACCAGATACAGCAGCAATCCGATTAGTAAAAACACATGAAGTGACCAGTAAACAGGCGTAAACAGGCTCTAACTAGAAACCCATTTAAAAAGCCCATTGACTTTGGGACGATGGACGATGAATCGCTAAAACTGGTTTCCGGGTTTTGGCCGACAGAAACACGTCATCCCTCCCTCCAGCACTGTATTGCCACGTGCTTGCTAAGTGTAGTTGCTAACTACCACAAATAATAATAAAAAGAGCAGCAAGCTATTTTGCGTTTAAATGACCTCTAATAGCCGTCCAAACACAGCCTTAGACGTCTAGGCTAAAACAAGGAAAAATTTGGTCTGCTAGTGAAAGTTTAATAGACGTCTAAACCATCACCCAAGAATTGACTATTAGATAAAGAAATGAAATGAGCTTTGTAATCACGGTTTACTTTGCTTATGTGATGGAATATCCAACCCGATCTCATGGCAATTCGTACGAATTTTACAAGGTGGCTAATTCGTACAAATTCATACGACCTCACTCGCACAAATTCATACGATTTTTGCTAATTCGTGCATATTTAACGAGTTACCAAATTTGTATGAATTCGTACGAATGACCTACCCCTGACCCCGCCCTTAAACCTACCCATCACGTGGGCTTAGACAAATCGTACAAACTCGTACGAGTGAGGTCGTGAGATAGTGTTGGAATATAGTACATCTCGCAAGTTATTTTGGCAAAAACAACATGTAACTAAGGGTGTATTCACACCTACCTTGTTTGGTTCGATTGAATCGAACTCTAGTTCGTTTGCCCCCTTGGTGCGGACCTTTTGGGCAGGTGTGAATACAGCAATCGAACTCGGGTGCGGACCAAACAACCGAACCGAGACCCAGCTGAAGAGGTGGTCTCGGTATGGTTCCAAACGAACTCTGGTACGGTTCGTTTACGGTGTGAACATGAACAGACCCAATTGCAAGAAAGCACTGCGTCGAAAGAGAATATTGCGCGTCTTTCTGCACGTCGTGTGTGAATGTCTAATCGCGCAAAGATGCAAACAAAATATCATTTGCAGTTCATAAAGCATTTGCAGTTCACCACCTTTTGGTGGTGGTTGACGAGTTTCCCCCTTAAAGCGAGTGCCGAGAAAAATTCTATATAAATGGAATGAATTATTATTATTATTATTAATGTAAGGATAGTTACAATACAAGGATGATGATGCGTTAATTTACGTTAAACTGGACAAACTTAATCGCAAGCGTTAACATTGACAGCACTTGTTAGTACAATAAGAATCTCATTATTTGAATGAGTGAACATAGCCCCTCTCTATGAATGAAAACTTTATACCTTCTGTATACCGTATACCTTCTGTGCAGTGCCACTTGTAACGCAAAGTTGAGATGTTGCCCAGAGATAAAAAAAAAACAGAAGGTGGTCGAATGAAAAGATGCACAAGAGACGAGAGTTGTCGTATTTCCCCGCGTTTATAGAGCCACTCAAACGTTACACTCGTCGTCTTCTCAAAATCCGAATTACCACTTCGTATAGATGACATTGTATCATATGATACTCATTAGTTTCTTCATATTGCGTTTGTACAGAATTAACACAAATTTAGTAAAAGAACAAATATTGCAGTATGAAATCTATGGAAATATCTCCATGCTGAGCCTTTTTTGCACTTCCTGATTTCCCTTGAGAATCCTTGTCCAATGAATAGACGACCTTAATGGACGACCTTACGACACTTGCAAAAAGAGCAGTGTGAAAGCGAACCGTACCAAAAAAAAATAATATAAATAATTTAATAATAATAATATTATTAATAATAATATTTATTTATAAAAATAATAATAATTTATTTGGTCCGGACTCCGGACCAAAGCAAGTGAACTATCGGACTTTCCTGGTGTGAATACACCCTAAATTCAATGTTAATGGTATTTTGGCTAGAAGTGGGTTTCTCATAGAAAGTGGGAGTCTATGGTTAAGCTAGAGGGGGAACTGGCGGCTATTGCTTGCTGCCTTCAACTCCCTTTGATAATTGGATTCTGGAAGCCAATGGGAGTTTCACCTGCTTTATCATCTTCTGGTATAAATCAGATGTCTGATCTCTTAAAAACATAAAAGTGTCCTGTTCGATTCGAGGTAGTCTGTGGCACAAAAGAAAAAGCCTTGCGTCGAAACGCTAAGAACATTATTTGGCAACGCCCTCCATATTTACACACATTCATTAACCTCCTCTTAACAGCTCGCATCAGAAAAATACAGAAAACCACCCACATCCCCTCAGCAATGCCAAACATAATGAATGAAACAGTCCCTCGAGACTGAGGCATACCCTGTCAAGCGTAGTGCGGTTCACCATTGGCTGCCAAGTAGCCTGCGCTCACTGAAGTGTGAGTGTGGGGGCAGTAACTGGTGAATGAGATTTGATAAGGGAAATCATTCATATCCAGCACATCGGCACCTCTATGAAAGTGTCGCTCAGTGTCTGACCAGCCAAATCGATGCAATGGCATGATAAAAACATGCCAAACAATTTTTATGTCTTGTGACCAAGCATCTGCTGCCGTGCAGTCGATGTGCAACTGCAGATTCAGCAAAACTTCAAATTTAAGTCTTTTATTGAGTGCCTGGATGAGGTGGAGTCATCCATTTCATTATAGCTTTAAATGGTCATAACCCATGATGATCATTTGATATACGACACGCTGTCAGTAGGTGAGTCACCAATAACCTGAATGCTAAGCATTGGTAGATGCCTTTTTGGATGTCTGAAATATTTCACACCCCATGTCTTCTGGCTGACTGCCTCAATGTACACTGCTTGACAGTGATTGCCTTCGAGATGAATTCAGATGACAGGCTAAGACAAATTAGTGTGTTTCTGAGAAAACTGTAGACAGCACATAGAAAAGTGCCAAGCTAAAACCACATGTAAGTTAAACAAGCATCAAGCAATGTATATATGTAATGCTTGTTTTAGCATTCATATCCAAATGACAAAGGAAGAAGAGAACGTGAGGGGCTAAACTATAAGAGAGAAAATAGCATCACCCGAGCAGGCGATGTCACTTGAGGTCTCGCAAGCTTCAGTGGTTCAAACACTGGATCTACTGAAGCTTGAGATCAACCAATAGGAGCTCGCGGTGCCCGCAGGATTAGTGGAAAGCTCAGCCGCGAGGTCATTTCTCTCTTCACCGTAAGCCACTGTTATGGACCGATAGCTGCATACACTAGAGCTTCTTAATCCTAGTCCTGGGGACCCACAGAACTGCATTTTGTGTGTTTCACCCTTATTTAATGCACCTGAATCAAATTTTTAGCTCATTAGCGGAGAGATTCATGAACCTAACTTGGTGCATCAGATAAAAAAAAGACAAAATGTGCAGGGCTGTGGTCCCCGGGAACAGGATTAAGAGCCACTGCACAGTAATTCTCATAATCCACAGATTCATCCCAAATACATATATATACAGAGCAAAACCAGTGATATAAATTTAGTGTTTGCATTTAAATCATTACCTGATTTGGCTTTTTTTTTTAGCTATATTATGTATATTCATTTGCATCTATTACCTTTTGCAGTGAAATCAAACTGTCTCTGTGAAGCCATGCCCCAGATATTACCAGTTTTTTTTTTTTCATTTGCCAGGTGAAAATCAATTTAGAAAAGTAATAAGCCACATGGTTCACTCATGTCCATAGCAAAAAAAATGGTATGGGACGAGTCACTCTGCTCTCTTTATAATACTTGAGGTTAGGGACTTGGACAACTCGATCTCATGGGAAAATATGACACTTTTTACAGTACGAGGTGGCGATTTTGTATGATGTCCACCCCAAACCTAACACAGTCTCATCCCAAAAAGTCATATAACTGACGTTTTGGGACGTATTTTGACCATACATCAATATCCGCCTTTTTAGGGCCCCCTTAAACGTCGGTAGATGGCGATCCCGGGCCGTCATACAACTGACGCTTTACCTTTAACGTCAGTTAGGTGACGGGTTAGGTTTAGGTATGGGGTAGAGTTAGGATCCCATAACCTCATCTACCGACATTTAAGGGGGCCCTAAAAAGGCGAATATTGACGTATGGTCAAAAGACGTCCCAAAACGTCAGTTATATGACGTCTTGGGGTGAGACCGGGTTGCCAAACCGCACCCCTGGACGTAATCGTTAACAGGACAAATATGTACAACTGAGATGGTACGAATTCATACGAATTAACCACCAATTCGTCAAATTGTAAAATAGTTACGAAGCGCGATGATATAATTCTGCTCCAAACTAATGTAGACACAGAAGTTGACATGTTAATAAACAGAGTGAAGGTCCTTGCACAATGAGTCCGAAAATCTCATCCGAATTTAAATTGCGAGTTCAAAAATAAATACCTTGCATTGTGTCAATCACGTTTACAACCTACCTCCGAAACTTTGTACGTCATAAAAAATCATATCGGGTTCAATTTTCTGAGTTTTTCAGATCCGTATAGTACATTTTGAGCCGCCGAATGACAAATATAAAATGTGAAAAATTCAGGATTTCAGTGATTCGGTGGCGCTGAATTGTCAAAACACCATTCAAACTGCTTGCTACGGATGCGAAAAACGCTGAAAATCGAACCCGATTCGATTTTTTGTTTTTAATGACGGACGAAAGTTTCGGAGGCAGTGTGCAACCGCGTAAGGTTGAATTCATTTTTCAACGCGCGAACATTTCAGACGCGAATTTCGGACCTTGCCAGTGTTTGTACTCTTCAGAAATTCATCCCATCAATGGCTTTCTTGTTGTTGCCTCAGCATATGAACCCACGAGAGGAGAACGCACAGTATTTGAAACATTAAAAAACAATCGTTAAACCCGTTGCAAAGGTCGCAGTTAATAATCATTTCGTTGTGACAACTGACGCCGATCATTGCATTGATCATGCATTTCTTACCTTCCAATCATAGTAGAGTGCTGCTGAACTGCAGCCTCCAGGAGGCGCTCTAGAATGGTCCACTCTCCCATGGCTTTCTGCTGAAGACATCCAGGGATCACCGGACACTGTACTGGACCCCGCCGACCCTTCACGAAGACCTCCGAAGAAACCCCGCCGTCCCCGTTCCTTCTCTTTGAGGTAGTCAACAGCAACAGAGATGCTTCGCTTCTACAAATAGTTCTGAAGATGGCTCGAGAAGACACATGGTTTCTCCTTATCTTCCTTCAGCAGTCTCTGTTTACCGGTTCGCTTTCCCTTTTAGGGTTTGACGGACTCAGACAGCAGTTGCATTAAGAGTGCAGAAGTGTCCCTGGATGCCCTTGTGTCCTCAAGTGCTTCAACTATCTGGACTATCTTTTCCCGTTCCTCAAGCACAGCTGCGCGGTCTAAACACGCACGCTCGCGGACAAGCTGCACCTAGCCCTTTTGTTCACCATTAAACACACACACTCTGACACACACACACAATCGTCCTCTTCTTGATCTCTCATAATCCACCGAGCACGTTTTCCTGCCAGTATTGGTCGCACGGACAATCAGACCCGCTCACACACACACACTCCACGCTCCAGTTGCACATCACACACACATTTGAACAAATCACACTTTCTCTCTGCTTCCTCACTGTTGCTTCCTAATGTTTCTATCTAGCCTTGGCAAGCAGTCTGCAGTCTCCTGTTTTCTCCTCTACCATCCCAGCTTCAGTGTCTTTCCTGCATTTTTCTTTTCCCCCCACTGTCAGTTTTCTCTTCCCCTGTTTCTTCGCTCGCCCGCTCTGCCTCTCTCTACCTCTGCTGTCACTATGAGCCACTGTTTTGCCACGCTCTCGTTTTCTGCTTGGCTCTCCCTCCCTCTCTCCACTGACGTTCTCTCTGTCACTCATGACAAGTGTGCCACCTCCCACCATCTCTCTCTCTCTGTCTCACACACACACACACACACAGTGCTCTTGAACTGTTGCACGAGTCTCTGTTGGCACTCTTTATTTTAAACAGTTCTTTTAATTAACCCGGTTCATTCACCTTTCACTCTACAAGCCTCTTTCTCCATCTCTCTCTCGCTCTCTCTCTCTCTCTCTCTTGTGGGCACCTGGCTTATGCGTGTGTCCAAAGGATTAGTGGGAGAATTCATCATGCTACCCCTCCCCTCCTTTCCTCTCATCCACAAGCCACATATCCAACCATACTCCTTCTTTCATTTCCAATATTTTATGTTTATGTTGAAGAGAAAGTTTACACAAACTTCTCTGTTGCATCAAGCTGCTCTGTTACAGCATTTCTCAGATTTACAACACCTTTACACAGCAGGGAAACTTTACACCACCTTTGCATGACAGAGTAGCTGTACACTACATTGACATGGCAGAAGAGCTTTACACAATGGTTACATCACCTTTACACAAAAGATCAGTTCTATAATCTTGCTCGTCTGCTGTAAAGATGTTCTGCTGTGTAGAGGTTTGTAAAACTGTTCTTTACACAACAGATACGTTTTAAAACACCTTTACACACCAGGGCAACTTTACGCCACCTTTACGTAACAGAACTGTTTTACACGATAGAATAGCTTTATATCACATTTATACAACAGATTTATTACAACATAAAGCAGTTTTACAACACCTTTACACATCAGGACAACTTTACACCACCTTTACATAACAAAAAGCTGTTCTGTTGTGATATAAATCTAGTCTGTTGCATCACATTTTCACAACAGAACAGCTTTACACAATGGTTACACCACCTTTACACAGCAGGACAACTTTACACCACCCTTACATAACAGAAATGTTTTACACATCAGGACAACTTTACACCACCTTTACGTAACAGATGTTTTATACAACAGAATAGCTTTACACCACATTTACTCGAAAGAACAGCTTTACACCACCTTTACGTAACATAAAGCTGTTCTGTTGTGTAAATGTAATATAAAGCTAGTCTGTTGTGTAAAATATCTCTATCACATTTACACAACAGAACAGCTTTACACAATGGTTACACCACCTTTACACAGCAGGACATTTTTACACCACCCTTACGTAACAGAAATGTTTTACACATCAGGACAACTTTACACCACCTTTACGTATCGGATGTTTTACACAACAGAATATCTTTACACTACATTTACTCGAAAGGACAGCTTTACACAATGGTTACACCACCTTTACACAACATATACGTTTTACAAAACAGCGGTTTTACAACACCTTTTCACAGGACAACTTCACACCACCTTTACGTAACAGAAAAGTTTTATGCAACAGAATAGCTTCACGCCACATTTACACAACAGTTGCACCACCTTAACACAACAGATTTACAAAATAAAGCCGTTTTACAACAGCTTTACACAGCAGAGAAACTTTACACCACCTTTGAGTAATATAAAGCTGTTCTGTTGTGTAAATGTGATGTAAAGCTAGTCTGTTGTTTAAAATATGTCTATCACATTTACACAACAGAACAGCTTTACACAATGGTTACACCATCTTTACACAGCAGGACAACTTTAAACCACCCTTACATAACACAAATGTTTTACACAGCAGGACAACTTTACACCACCTGTACGGAACAAGTTTTACACAACAGAATAGCTTTACACTACATTTACTCGAAAGGACAGCTTTACACAATGGTTCCAACACCTTTACACAACATATACATTTTACAAAACCAAAACAAAGCCGTTCTACACCTTTACACAGCAGGACACCTCATTTACATAACAGGTTTTACACAACACAATGCTTTACACAATGGTAACACCACCTTTACACACCATTTACGTTTTACAAAACAGCGGTTTTACAACACCTTTTCACAGGACAACTTTACACCACCTTTACGTAACAGAAAATTTTTAGACAACAGAATAGGTTCACACCAGATTTACACAACAGAATAGCCTTACACAACAGTTGCACCACCTTAACACAACAGATAGGTTTTACAAAATAAACGTTTTACAACAGCTGTACACAGCAGGGCAACTTTACAACACCTTTACGTAACATAAAAGCTATTCTGTTGGATAAAATATTTTTTTACGTAAAGATGGTGTAACCATTGTGTAAAGCTGTTCTGTTTTGTAAATGTGATATAAAGCTAGCCTGTTGTTTAAAATATATCTACAACTGTAAATATATACACAACAGAACAGCTTTACACAAGGGTTACACCATATTTAAACAGCAGGACAACTTTACACCACCCTTACATAACACAAAGGTTTTACACAGCAGGACAACTTTACACCACTTTTACGTAACAGAATAGTACTCAAAAGAACAGCTTTACACTGTGGTAACAAGTTTTACACAACACAATGCTTTACAGTATGGTAACACCACCTTTACACAACATATATGTTTTTTACAAAACAGGGGTTTTACAACAACTTTTAACAGGACAACTTTACACCACCTTTACGTAACAGAAAGGTTTTACACAAAAGAATAGCTTCACACAATATTAACACGACAGAACAGCTTTACACAACGGGACAGTTAAAAAACAGAGCAGGTTATAACACCTTTACACATTAGAGCAGTTTTACACAACTTTCAAAATATAACTGTTTTGAAAAATACACAACTGTTGACTTCTTTTCACGATGGCTTGTCATCCTCTTGTTTCAGTTTAATCCTATTGTGACTGTCCACTTTCCCTAATCTTGTTTAATGATTCACACTGATGTTTATGGGCTTTGAAGTTCTCCCAGTCATTACCCATGGCAACAGCACTGACTTGTAGATCTCTTTTTTAAGGGTTATGAGTAGTATAGATGTAGGTGTAGTGAATAAATGTGCATCAATACACAACTTCACAATAATTACCCATCAGTCATTGCACATCACCTCAGCACTGCAAGAAGTCTGACTAAAACGAGAAGCAGTAAAGGCATTTTACTGAGTTTGATTGGTTTCATGTGTGGTTTGATATTCCTGTCAAAATCTAAAGCTAGAAATCCAGCATTACTTAGAAATACTCAGAAACTTTAATGATTTACACATCTATAAATGTGTTATTAGGGCCCTACAACACAAGATGTCATCCTTCACAGATGTGCAGATACACTCTAAAAAATGATGGGTTGTTTTAACCCAATTTTGGGTCAAATATGGACAAACCCTAAATGTTGGGTTAAAAATGTAATGTAAAAAATTAACCCAACGGCTGGGTTAGTCCATATTTGACCCAAAGTTGGGTTAAAATAACCCAGCATTTTTTAGAGTGTATGAATAGGACATTATTGGGTGAATCTGGCGTGTGCTGTAGAGCAAGGATTACTGATGCTCCGGCGGACAGCGAGGATCAGAGATGCTGGCTAGGGTGGGCGTCTCTTAAGGTAAGATTACCACCCTTAACTGCATGATAATCAGCTTTGCCTGCACACTGCTAACAGGGGAGAAGCAATAGGGTGAAAGCCCTCGTTTCCCCGGCAGGGGCCTTAATTAAAGCTTAAGATAATGGGACTAAAACACCCCCACCCGCACACACACTCCCCACCTATTAAAAATAGGGCTGTGAAACGATTAATACCATCGAAAATAAAAGTTTGTTTAAAAAATATATCTGTGTATAATTATTTTGTTTATTATATATATATATATATATATATAAACATGTATGTATATATTTAAGAATTTTTTTATGTATAAAATATTTATATTTAATATAAATATATATATATATATATATATATATATATATATATATATATATATATATTAGGGATATATTAGCGCATCCAAAATAAAAGTTTGTGTTTACATAATATATGTGGGTGCACTGTGTATAATTATTAATTATTTTATATATATATATATATATATATATATATATAAATACACACACATGCTTGTATATATTTAAGAAATATTTTCATGTATATAGATTTATATTTAATTTATATTATATAAAAATATAAATATTTTATATATGATAGTTTTTTTCTTAAATATACATGCATGTGTGTATTTTTTTATATATATATATATATATATATATATATATATATATATATATTATACACAGTGCACCCACATATATTATGTAAAAACAAACTTTTATTTATATATTATTTAAACAAACTTTTATTTTGGATGCATTTTTAAGTGTACTTTTTATGCAATTTCTATCTCCATGGCAACAACAGGACAGCTTAAAATACAAAGGATTTTTTGTATAATGTGTTTTGTGCAAAGTTTAGTATAAGAATGGAAGTATGCAAGCCTATTCTCCTCACATCTTTATAAGATCTAAACACATTTCAGAAAATTCTGCCATCATTTGCTCACCTTCATGTCTTTCCAAAGGGGTTTGACTTCTTTTATGAAGCAAAGTTATTTTGAGATACGTTGCAATTTGTTTGTTTCTCCGTCCATAATGGAAGTCAATAGTCAGCAAAATGGTTTCAGAGCCAACTTCAAAATATATTTTTTTGCAAAAAGCATACAGGTTTGGAACGACATGAGGCAGAATTTTATTTTTGAATAAACTATCCCTTTAAGATAGAAAATAATAGCATTGTCACTTTTCATAACACCATAGAACATCTCAGAAATGTAAATGAAAGGTCAAATCGAATACATTGATTTGTGAGATTGTCAATTCCACACAATGTGATTTGCTGCAGTGGAGACAACTTCCATATTTCAACACTTTACCTTTTTTTTTTTTTAACTCATTAACAAATGGGTCACAAATTCTTACATTCGCAGATTAAATAATAGACATTACTGGCCTTAATTTTAGCCTGTTTAGCAGG